GGCTGTGCGCTTCCTGCTGCTGGTGGGAGGACAAGCCTTGTTGGCTGCGCGAGCGGTTGTGGACAGGAATTTCTGCCCAGGTGACCAATTCCGACTTGCAATGGAGACACCTTCCTCAGAAACATCGGGTGTCTCTGTTCCAAGCACCGAGGCGGCAGTCTCGGCATCTGCTGCCCGCCGACTCGGTGCTAAAAGAGCAGCTGCGCATGCTGCCCTTGGGCCTCTCCAAGAGGAGAAGGCTTCCCCATTTTCTCCCGGGGAAGTCAGTGCCAAAAGACAATGCCGCGGTCTTACTGAGAAGTGCTGCGGCTATGACAGTGACATGACATCGTGCTCCTTTCTCAACACCCTCTGGAAAGTTGTTGAAAGTGTTGGCTTCCAGTCCATTCGGTGGGGCGATGAGGGAGACTTCATTGTGATTGAGGAGGCATTCTTCAGAGCGGAAGTACTGGCCAGAGGAGGAACTCTCCAAGTCTTTGATGTTGGCAACATGAAAGATTTTGTCCGTCGCCTTCATCAGCATGGCTTCTACATCACGGACGCGGATTTGCCAACGTCTGCCCCATGTGCTCAGTTCCTAGCACAGGGAGCATCAATTTCCACTCCGAGCCAGGTACGTAGTCCCTCTAGCTGTGAGATGGCTCTCGGCACAGCGGCATTGGTGGCCAGCCAGTGCAAAGTGAGGTGGCTGACAGCTGGTGACACTTGGGTACTTGTGCCACTGTGTGTTACTGGTCACTTGAACGACGGAGTGACCAGTACAAGACAAGACTGTGGTGTCTAAGCATGATTCCTTTTGCATTTTCCCTATCTTTCCCATTCTTCTTGCTCAATTACTTTTTCAGTTTTAGCTATATTGCAAATTAGCCTTTTATTCTGCTATGTATTGAAAATTTGAGCTTTTCTGTCCTTTTGAATGACTTAAGCAGCTGAAATTTTTCTGTCTGAAAACACTGAGTTTGTCACAGGATAACTCCTTTGATACTGTATTTTACAGCCATTCCTTTTTATATGCTATGTATCATTTGTATTATTTCCTTTTTTTTGAAAATAATAATAATAATCATAGTAATGATACTGTAGGAAATCTAAATTTGGAATAAGCAATAGAAGATTTTACCAGCAGTATTCTATTTTTGCTACATATCACCAAGTCGTGACTAAAATGTGAACATAAAGTACGTTTAATATAATGCTATTTCTTTTTTATCTTAAAGCATTGTTTTCCTTATTTGCAATTTTTTCGCATGAAATACTTTAGGTGACACAAATATAATCAAATTTTGCTGTTCTCTGAAGTACATTTCTCCACTTGTGTTAAATTTATTTTAAATAAATTATGGAGTTTGATAGCACAGATGAAATGATTGCTACATTTTTTTGTTTGACCTCCCAGGAAACTGACTCTTGGTTTACAATATGGAATTGATGGCAAAATAAAAAAATTTGGATTTTCTTTTATCTCATGGATTCGGTGTTTTTCTTTCCAATATAATTGAAAGTGATGTATGGTAAATATTAGGCAAACAAAAGAAAACAACTGAACATGTGTTGCTATTGAAACAGTAGGAAAAAAGACTACCCTTAAGAAACCTACCTGAAAAGAATTCATCACTGCAGGCAAAGACTGGAATTTCAAAGGAAGATCTTTATTTTCTAAGGGACTATTCTGCTTATTCAGATATCGAGTTTTCAGAATCATTAGTTTGAACTACTTAATATACTTCAATTCTACTTCACATAAAATTTATTCACGAATCTTAGATTTTCGAATTATTAACAAAAAGAAGAAAATTCAGACTTTCTGTTTCCTAATGTGATTTTTATGAGCATTATGGTTAACATGCATGAAACGGATTTGATTTTATACTCAGTGCTTCTAGCACACTAGTTACACGATTCTATACTGAGCAGACTGAAGTCTAATTTACAAAATTCAGTGGATACTTCATAGACAAAAACAGAAGTGCTAAATTCAGTCATGTTTGTAAAGACCGCAGTAACATACAATATATGCTGCAATACTGTGAAATGTTTGCTGTGTACTTTGAAAGATTTATATTCCTTCTTGAGCAATAGGGAAGTACCATTTCCTGGACTTGCTGACAAAGGTCATGAACAGTGAAGCTAAGGGTTTTCACTGCAGAATGAATTAGAGATTTTTCACTCTCTTTCTACTTAATTTTCAGTATCCTTGATGAATTGAGGGAAAATAAACCTGTCATAGGCCAATTATGTTTACAACTGTATACAGAAATGAATAAATATTGTATATTATTACTATAATATAAAATCTCCATGATTATAAAAAGATGTATGATAAATAGTATTTATAATTTCTATATAAGATTACATCTAGAAATGTATATGTGATGCCATAAAAGGAACACTAACATTTGTGAAAGAATTTTTCTAGAAAACAATTTTTGAAATATCACCTTTTATCACCTAAATGGTGGAGATTTTAACCTACTATTCCAATTCTGTCATTTGTGTAGGTCACTGAAGACACACTGAAGAGAGTTGTGTGAATGCAAAATTACACAGGATTCTTTCTATAATGTAATTAAAAATAGTTTCAAAGCCTTTTTTATTATTTTATTTTATTTTTAAGGCAAAATTGGAGAATAATAGACTTTAGGAAAATAATGGCGTTCTGTGAAATAATGTGCTTGCATAACAGAGTGTTGGTGCTCTGGAGGGAGATGACCAGATGAGAACAGGAAAATAATTTACACCGTGTCATGGTTTCCACTGGTATTTCTGAGCCTGTATAATTTAAAGCTTGTATTTCCACATCTTCTCAAAATGTCATGTGAACTGTGTACAGCAGACAGCTCTCCATTTCTAGCTGATTTAAATCAATTTCTTCTCCAGCTGAAATGATTCCCTCAGACTTGTTATCCCCTTGAGCTTTTCATTTCTTCCTACAAAGTTAGTCTACCAAACTCTTCTTAGTTGCTTCCAGCACTTCAGCTACGGTATCCATCGGGCACAAAGCTCCATTTCACTCAAAAAAATCTCATCATGATATCTACAGAAAAATGTTATTAATTAGAACTGTAGACTAGAAAGAAAGAGGGTAGAATCTGGATCTGCTGAGTTTTCTTATTTAGAACAGGTAACCCAGAGAAGCTGTGGATGTTCCATCCCTGGAGGTGTTTAAGGCCAGGTTGGATGGAGCCCTGGGCAGCCTGACATAGTGGGGGATATTCAGCCCATGGCAGTGGGTTGGAACTAGATGATCTTTGAGGTTCCTTTCAACCTAAGCCATTCTGTGATTCTATGATTAGAAAGTATTCCAGAGTGAGCAGAGTGACTTTAGACTCCCACATCTTGTGATTTATAAAAACACAATTCTCTGGATTACTGAAATTAATCAGGAATAATGTGCTATAGTTTCCTGGTCAGGACCACTACACCTAGCACTCAGAACTCTAATCTACTTACATTCTACTTGGCAATCCAAGTTTCATTAGCATACACATGTATGCAATATGAATCCCTGTAAGGCTGATATTAGGTACTCTGTTTTTCCAGATTGACCTTTCTTTTTCTCTGGCTTTTACTCTGTGCATCCCCAATATATACTCCTCTAACGCCCTAGAAACATCCCATAGTTATTACTCAACCCCTGGCTGCTCTTTCTCCTGCATACTGTTAACCCATTAGTGAACAGCACCTTGCAGTTCGTATATTGCTCTGGTGAGAGACAGTTTTTGTCTTGACTTCTGTCTGGGTTTGTGTGTCAGTAGTCAAAATGAGTGAATCCTTCTCCTTTGATCCCTTTAGGAGCAGCCTATTCCACACACTCTAAAAGTCACTAATCAGGTCACTAAGCTTACTCCAGCTGTCGAAGGTCTTCCATTCCTTAACAAGTCCTTGTGTGGAATGCCATCAGCCTTTAATCAGACAACAGGAATGACAACAGAAGCATCACATTAGATTGTGTGATTCCACATGAGTAAATAGATGCTTTGTAGCAGCTATCAGCAGGTTATATTTGAGACATTTGATGTCAACTGTGTTCTTTTCATAAAATAACTGTCAAATTTTCTAGTTTGGGGACAACATGTAAATATAAGAGGCACAGTGGGTCCCTTTCATTTGAAGGAACTTAATTCTTCATTAACATCAGAGAAAATTACTTAGAGAAAGTTACTTAGGTAACTTCAGAAGCTTTGGTAGGAGAAGAAAGGCTTACAAAGATAAAGGTAAGATTTTCACAGTTTAACAACAAAATGGTGAGCCAGTGACATTCTACGTCCATTACTGAATTTTATTGCTTCTCTCCTCTGCATTCTCTCTTCTCTGCAGTGTGTATTTAGCCGTGAGCAGATGTTTTAGATGTTTTCCACAACTTCTTTTAACCATCTTCCACATCTGTTAAAAAGCTTGGGGTTTTACACATCTTGTATAGCTTGGGCTTTAAAGAGATGACCTTCTGAAATCTACTGAGATGTCTTTTCATATTATTATTTTATTATTTTGTTACAATTTTAAAGTCAAATTTAGGTTCACAATTACTTACATTAATATCATTTAAAACTAAAGCAAATTGATTCTTCTAACATTCCAAACAAGCACACTCGTGTTTTATCAATGTTTGTGTGCATGAACTACATTTAAGCAGATTACAAATACTAATATGTGAGCAATTTGCATTCTAAGTGTCAGAGTAAGTTTTACTAGCCTACATGTATGATATTAATCTCATTATTAATAAACCTATTGTCTAAAGGTTTCACTGCTGTATAGGATGTTCTAGAAATGCTGTTTGGACAAGTCAACTATACTGGAATTTTTTCCTCTTCATTGTTCTTTGGAAAGATGTTTAGGGAGCATTTGACCTTATTTTCTGAGGCAGTGTTTTTTTACTCCCTGAGCAGAACACAAACCTCTGTACATTTGTACAAACTGATGCCAGTTATAATTCCCATAACTTTGGGTAAAGCAAGATCAAAATGCATGGTGGAGAGATAAATTTTGCTGTTATTTATGATTACATATGATCGATGCTCCAAAAATAATGCCTCCTATGTTATCGTGTTGGTCCATGACATCAGAGGTGGATGCTGGTGGTATGAGGATAAAGGTTGAACCTTCTCACCAATATTCTGTTACACTTTGTTGTTGTTCAACAGAGGGCAGCAGAGGAGCAGTCTGACAGGACTGTGTCTGACAGAAGTGAGTATGAAGCAAAAATTTTTTACTGAATTTCTCCATGCAGAAAAAATAGCACCCATGGACATTCACTGACATGTGCTGAATGTTTATGGAGATCAAACTGGATGTGAGCACAGTGAGGCAGTGGGTGGTGCAGTTCAGCAATGGCAACACCAACATGCAAGACAAAACACGTTCTAAATGGAAAAGCAGAATTTTGCAAGTGCTGACATTCAGGCTCTTGTTCACCACTGGAAATAATGCAAAGCTAATTGTGTTTGAAAAAGAGTGTTTTGTAGCCAAGAATTTGCTCTATCAAAAAGTGTTATTGTGCTCTTTGTAGCTGCTGTATTTCCACAAATACAAATAAAAAGGAGGCATTACTTTTGGAACAACCAATAGTGAAGTGAGTAGACCTCAGAGAAATTAAGCATTTTCATGTTAGAACTTAAGCTCTTTTTATTAACTTGTGAAGTTTCAAAGTCTCAGCGCAGCCATCCCAAAATTTATATCCAAGTAACTGATATTCCTCTTTTTGTTTACTTTCATAGGGATTTTTTCTTCTTCCTAGCCCATATTCTGGTTGAGAAAGATCCTACCAGTCTCTAGTGAAATGAA